TACAGCCTTTGCACTTCAGGCTGTAATGACTCCAACTGTGCAGAAGGGAAGGATATTCAAATACCTCCCGAACCACACCTCAGAATTCTTTGTTCTTCGCCCCTAATAAGTCATATCCTGCTCAGTATCTTTCTGCCATCAATTTATGTTATGATGGCTTGAAATCATCTCAGTTACATCAAGAATGATTTTTTCACCTTTTCATTTATTAGACTGGAATCTGCACTAGGAAGGTATCAATTTCTCTCCAAGCCTGACAATTTCTCATCCTCATTTATGAGGATATAGGCTGACAACTTCAAATCGTTCATTTCCACTGTAACTACTGACTCAACTCTTCAGTTTCAGCAGCTTCTCCCAACTCCTACCTCCCATTCCTGATTTTTTTTTTTAGTGGAGAGAATAATAGATTAGAATGCATTCCTATGCAACTACTATGCAAAAATACAGATTAGAGTCCAACTCTGCTCCCCATCAAATAAATAGAAACGATGCTTTAGTTTCTGAAGGGCATCTCATCAAACTGGTACAAGCAGCCATACTGAGAAACCTCTCAGAGAAGAGTAGGGGGAGAGATGTTTTAGAGGCGCTGAGCGCTATTAACTCTTGCAGTCTAACATTTCATTGTTATGTAATGATTGTATTTGAGCTATATGTTCAAGCACCTAAAAATGCAGTGGGTGTCCAGACACCTTTATGCGAAGGTGGACACCTAATTGATTACGAGCTTTTGTAAAGCCTATTTAGAGTTTCTATCTTCAGGTGCTTTGAAAATTTGGCCTCAAATTCAGAGCTGGCAGAAGCAAGAAATTCAGTTAGTTCTGACAGCATTTATGCAAACATTGATTTTAGCTCCAAGACTTAATACATATCTTGCTAGAACTTCCTGAAATCCCTCAGACTGTTTTTTAAGAATAATGACATTATATGACATTGAGACACCTACAGTCTTCAAGGACCTGTGTGAAGATAATTCACTGGAGGACATTCCAGCCAAAGCCACTTGATC